TAATGTCTATAAACATCTAGAGACACCCTAGGTCATGCATCAGGAGTTCTCTTCGTTGACTTTTCATCTGCGTTTAACACCACTACCCAGCCACATATCATTATACAGAAACTGTTAGACATAGGCGTTAACTAATACCTCATCAAGTGGATCGAAAACTTTCTTGTGGACAGACAGCAGTACGTGAAAGTTAACGGGACTGTATCGAGTAAACGGACCACCAACACTGGTGCACCACATGGCAATGTAATATCTCCTGTTCTTTTCACCCTCTACACTAATGATTGTGCACGCTCGAATTCAACCTGTTCAACTCTGTAAAGTTCGCAGATGATGCAGCAATTGACGGCAAACTGAACGATTGTACTGATTCTGGAAGAACTGTATAAAGAGGACATTAATCATTTCACCACTTGGTGTGCAGAAAACCACTTACACTTAAATGTCACAAAAACAAAGGAACTGATAATTGACTTTCGGAGTAAGCCCACAGAAATGCTTCCAGTGATAATCAACGGTGAATGTGTTGAGACAGTGTCGGAGTATAAGTATCTGGAAACCTTCATTGACTCTAAGCTGAACTGGAACTCTAACACTGAAGCCCTATACAAAAAAAGTGTGAACAACGTCTTCATCTCATGCGTAAACTGAGATATTTTAATGTTTACCCATCTGTGATGTCATCTTTTTATGCAGCATTTATTCAGGGTATTTTAACATTTTCCTTCCATTGTTGGTACGGGTCACTCTCAGCTATCTCAAATTTAAAATAGAAAAAATTATTAACACTCCAAGTAAAATCGCTGGAGTCAGATTGGAATGTTTATCATCAATATATGAGCGGCAACTCGTGAATCAAGCTGTCAAAATTATATCTGACCGTACTCACTACTTAAATTGGGAATACAACCTCCTCCTTCAGGCCGCCGCTACAAAAGTTGCAATTGTGAAACTAGGAGAGCCCGTACATCCTTTATTCCAAGTACCATATATCTCTTAAACAAATGTGAAGATACCTAAATTAATGAATTTATGTAATAATATGTTTTGCATCTCTCTGATGTGTCAGTAGCTCTGCTGATGTAACACAAATTCCTGAAAAGGCATTAAAAGTATTATTCTATTCTATTCTAAAGATTGTAAAACTTTTACGGTAGAAGCGTCAAGGCCCTTTCCAAATCTGATTCATAAGTGACAAAAAGTATGTCCAAAGCAGTTGCCAGATTTCACTTGTTCTTAATGCATTAATTTTGTCGACACCCTTTGTGTGTGTTTGTAACACTTGGTCAAGATAGCTAATCTTTTCGCGAACACTTGGTATTATTGTTATTTGATGACAGCACAATCGACCTTCAGCAGAGGTTAAGGCTTTATCCCTTTATTGAACTTTCAAATTGCCAAGCAATATTCCTGCAGCATCAACATTGATTAAAAATATTTATGTCAGATGTGGAACCGTTTTGGTAAACAAGCAGTATGTTGCTTATCTGAATAACGTGTTTGCATTTCACAATTTGAAGGTAAAATCAGGCATGCTCTTTCTGCGAAAATTTTAACGAGCGCCATATGACTCTTGCCAAAATATTCTCAGATAATGTAATGACTTTTGAGGAATCAAAAAGTTTCATCGCGGAAATAAAGAGACAATATCAAATTCTGACGCATAATATGCTCATGATAGAGTTGGAATCTTACACTGGGCCCCTTCCCCAGCAAAGATTTTATGAACGATGAAAACACAGGGTTTTGTCGCTATTATTCACATAAATGAGAATACTACACGAGGTCTCATTACATACGAATTATACAGAAACGAGTGTCCTTCCTATGGTATCTGACCGGCGAAAGCGAGGTCAGATAACATAGGAAGATCACAGTTTCGTATAATTCGTAATGTAATGAGACCTTCGTGTGATATATTTATTTATTACCACGTCTTACATGCATTAAATTGACAAAATAACGTAGTTTTGTTAATATTTTGGTTTCAAACCGAAACCGGTTTCATAAAGAGGTTGCGGAAGAGAGTTTTGTACTGTAGTACAATATTTGCATGACGTCACTGTAATGACGTCACTGCCTTGGTAACCGACGTCACGATGCATGTCAGTTGTCTTCGCCTCGTACAGCCTCCTACAGTAAACTACTCCGTAGCACCCCGTTTCTTGGTTTGCAGTTGCTTCATTCGGCTAACATCACTGGTGGAAACATTGCGTTTACGTTTTCGACGGGTATAATGTCTCCAGTTCGACTCACAATAAAACAGCGACACGGCAACGTTCGCGATGTTTACATTCCCACAATGCATTTAGTTGTAGAATGAATGGATCCACGTGTTTGTTATGAATGAAAAAGTAGTTCCGTCACAACATGACCTAACTGAGAGGTCATCGGTTATCAATCAAATCGTTAGAATCTCAGGTCAAGTCGTTACGACACAGGTCAACGCGATACGACACACGTGTGACGTACGAGATTAGAATGCAACTCCCATATGTTGACCACGTGGGTAATAAATTCAATAACTAACCAGTAAGAGTATGACTAAAGAATAAGCTAAAAATGTCGCCTCTAGGCCATTTTCATAAAGAAATCAAAGCAACTCTGCAAACAGTAATATCCATTAACAAGAGCCCTAGTTTGGTTCCCGCCACTGGTACAAGGGCTGAAGGCTGCCTGCATCCGTCTGCATCATTTCTGAGGCGGCGCACTGTGGTTTGACTTTGGCACCACAGATAACCATTTTCATATGTGGCTGTCCTTTATGTCCAGTGAGTTTATGTGATTTGTGATGAAGCATGTGATTTGCACTACGTGATTGTGTGGATGTGGCGGTTAAAGAACGAATCTGGTGATCGTGGTGTAACGTGCATTGTCAGTGCTACTCAGTCTCAGTTAAATACCGAGTGTCTGGTTTGTACACAGATTAACTTCATTGGCCATTCATAAACACACATGGTGAATGATAGTCCACACGGTATAAGGTTCAATATTGACAAAGCGTTATGGATAAGCACTCTAAGTGCGACGTTTGATATATTCATTGTTGTTGCCGACAATAGTTCCACTGATTAAAATGAATGACTTACGTTGAACAGAGTCGCTTTAGAAAGCATCAGGCGTCTTTTGGGGCGTTGCTTCGTGGCTATGGAATGATTTATTCTCACATTCACCGTGATTGTAGTCTTCCTTCTCAGTCACTAAGCGCGGATTTATGTAAGAATTTGTCACGGTCAAAAGTCTTCAATGAAGCACAAGTTCGTATCTTGAATCCTGAGAACACAGTCAGATGCACGCAGAAACGCCTGATAGCTTTGCAAGTCGGACTCCAGAAGATCTCGGATAGCCTTCGTGGGGCAGGCGGTGCATTTGGGTAGTCCGATGGTTATAGTCCGCCAAACTCCTGAGTTCGCCCACTTCAGGTTCCCACGTCGTGATATTGGTCAAATGTTTGCCATAAATGGGATGAAACCATACTCACTCATCCTGACATATTGTTTGTCTACCCTTTATTGTTTTCTTACAGAATCCGCTCAAAGAATGTATTCTATCCAGTGCAGTGTATCACTACTACAAGGATGATAATTCTTAAGTACTCCGGTCCATACCATCATTTGAAAACTGGAAACAACAGTAATTGACGCTCCAATCTGTTGCAACTATTATTCATTACAATTGACTCGCTGCATCCATTAGTCTGATGCCTATGCATATTTTAGCATATTTGCAGATGATATCTGCAATGAGCTGTTAATCCAGGTATGCTTTATGCTTGCAGATGGGGTTTACAAGAGACGTAGACCATGGTTATGCTTGGGTGGCCCTGGCAGCGTCGTTCAGCATCCATTTTACAATTGGACTAATGGGATATAGCTTTGGAGTGATAAATATCGCTATAATGGAAGAAATAGAAGATGACATAACAAAAACGTCTTGGATTGGTTCTACGTTATTTGGGACTACTTCTCTAAGTGGTAAGACCGATTCTGTCAACGGAATTCACACATTCTACATTGATCATTTTGATATCACAGTTATTGTCTCACAAGATATTGATGTATCAAAGTTCTAAGATCAACAGTTTTAAAGTTGCCAACATCATATTCTGAAGAGTATTCGTTGGTTTTGTGATAATATTGTTTCCGGTTTTTACTATGCCATGACATTCCTTGTGTCTGTTTCATGGAGAGCAGTTGCATATGTTTCTGACGGGTGCACGTGTCATTAATATTAATATGCAGGAGTGAGTGAGGGAGTAATGTTTTACGCCACAGTCAGCAATATTCCAGCTATATGGCGGCGGTTTGTAAATAATCGAGTCTGGACCAGACAATCCACTGATCAACAGTATGAGCATCGATCTACGCAATTGGAAACCGATGACATGTGTCAACAAAGCCAGCGAGCCTGACCACCCGATCCTGTTAGTCGCCTCATACGACAAGCTTGGGTTACTGAAGACTCATTCTAACCCGGACCTTTACGGGTCTTAATATGCAGGATGTGCTCACCCTTTTCACTTGCATCACTATCTGATAGTAATGTATGAACACAACCCCAACATAATTTAGGAATCGTAAAACCGATTCAACTGCCCCTAGAGTTTTCCTTGTGAATCTTATTTCTTATGTATTTCAAGAATATTTCTGGTTTTACTGAAATTAAACAAAGTGCTAGTTCATTCTTCGTTTAAATATTTGACAAATACATCGATTAAATGAATATATTCTAAGAAGTTGATGAAGTTCTTCAGATACATTTCAATCTTCAAATAATGGTTCCTGAGTAGTTGGCCCTGATGTCTGATGTACAAGAGTTGTCCGTATGTTGTGCGAATACTGTTATCTTATCTGTTATCCCTGTCTCGTTTCTCCATGGTGGAGTCTAGGACTGACAGCACCATACCCCTGTCCGTAGGTTTCTCAGAAGTGATAAGCGTCTACGACCTGCAATTGGCGTTTGTTCTCCAATACGAAGCTCCTGGAGGGACATTTTCGTAACCAACAATAAAAATAATAATCTCGTAATAACGACTTACAATCTCGTAATAACGACTTCAAATCTCGTTATAACGACTTATAATCTCGTAATAACCACTTATAATCTCGTAATAACGATTTTTAGATCTCGTTATAACGACTTTAAATCTCGTTATAACGACTAGAAAAAACCTCGTTATAACGATTTTTAAAAAACTCGTTATAACGATTTTTAAATCTCGTTATAACGACTTTTGGTGGCCTTCATCTACTTCTGAATTGGGTCTTCTGCATGGACTGCTTGAACATAGAGTTCATGGTTTGGAACGACTTGATGAGCATCTGGTCTTATCCTGCGTAGCATCCCTGCTTGCCTTCCTGATACCTCCATGGAAGTCGCATCCCAAGGTTTGCACAGCAGAGGCTTGGTGTATAAATATATCCAACCATTGGCAGGAAGAGAGGAGACCCTGACGTCGCATAAGTGTGACTGTGAGACCATGATTCTCTCACCTGATGGGAACTGTGAGACCATGATTCTCTCACCTGATGGGAACTGTGAGACCATGATTCTCTCACCTGATGGGACCTGTGAGACCATGATTCTCTCACCTGATAGAAACTGTGAGACCATGATTCTCTCACCTGATGGGAACTGTGAGACCATGATTATCTCACCTGATAGAAACTGTGAGACCATGATTCTCTCACCTGATGGGACCTGTGAGACTATGATTCTCTCACCTGATTGGAACTGTGAGACCATGATTATATCACCTGATTGGACCTGTGAGACCATGATTCTCTCACCTGATGGGAACTGTGAGACCATGATTCGCTCACCTGATGGGAATTGTGAGACCATGATTCTCTCACCTGATGGGGTGTGAGACCATGATTCGCTCACCTGATGGGAACTGTGGGACTATGATTCTCTCACCTGGTGGGAACTGTGAGACCATGATTCTCTCACCTGATGGGAACTGTGAGACCATGATTCTCTCAGCTGATGGGAACTGTGAGACCATGATTCTCTCAGCTGATGGGAACTGTGAGACCATGATTCTCTCAGCTGATGGGAACTGTGAGACCATGATTCTCTCACCTGATGGGAACTGTGAGACCATGATTCTCTCACCTGATAGAAACTGTGAGACCATGATTCTCTCACCTGATGGGAACTGTGAGACCATGATTATCTCACCTGATAGAAACTGTGAGACCATGATTCTCTCACCTGATTGGAACTGTGAGACCATAATTCTCTCACCTGATGGGACCTGTGAGACTATGATTCTCTCTCCTGGTGGGAACTGTGAGACTATGATTCTCTCACCTGATGGGACCTGTGAGAATATGATTCTCTCACCTGATGGGACCTGTGAGACTATGATTCTCTCACCTGATGGGACCTGTGAGACTATGATTCTCTCACCTGATGGGACCTGTGAGACTATCATAAGTCAAACATTTATGACAGACCTACTGAAACCCATAAGGACAAGTATATCAAGAGTGAAGTTAACATAAACATCAGATAAAAAATACGTGTCTTTTAGACAACTATTATTGTAAATTATTATCCATCTTTTCTTTAATACCCAAATATATGGACACATATAACCTAGAATAGGTTAATACAGTCTTAGAGGCGGTGGGATAGCCTAGTGGTTCGCTCGTCACGCCGGAAGGCCAGGGTTCGATTCTTCACATGGGTACAGTTTGTGAAGCCCATTTCTGGTGTCTCCCCTCCTTGATATTGCTGGAATATTGCTAAACACGACGTAACATCATGCTCAGTCAGTCAGTCAGTAATACATTCTTAATCACTCTGAACAGGAATATACGTCTTCAAAGAGATTTGGCAGGCAGACCCAAGTTGGCCAAACAACAAATTTAAGGTTCAAAAACATTCTGACAGCTGTCCTCAGTCTTATCTACATTAGGAAGTATTCCATGTCTCATGTCGGAAACATGTTTCAAAAGCAAACCCTCCCATAAATCTGATTTATTCAACAAATTCTCGTTACATGCAGTTTGGTGAATTATTAAGTTCTGGTTGATTCTTAAAACAAGTGTAGTGTATATATGGAGTGATGTGGATTATTAATATCGATCCCCAGCAGCAACTTGTAGATCTGATCCAGTTCTAATACATCAGTAGGACAAGGAAATGTTTCTGTTGTGTGGATGGATGTGAATGAGCTGAGTGAGTGAGTGAGTGACTGAGCAGGGTAGAGCGGAGCCGTGTGAGTATACGATAATGAATGAGTGAGTGTACGATAGTGAATGAGTGGCTGAGCTGAGTGGAACAGATTGAGTGTGTGAGTGAGTGAGGGATAGATAGTGAGTGAGTGATAGTGAATGAGTGAGTGAGTATGGTTTTACGCTGCTTTAGCAATATCCCAGCAATATCACGCGGGAGACACCAGAAATGGGCTTCATATATAGTCCCCATTTGGGTAATCGAACCCGTGATGAGAGGATGCTTTAACCATTAGGCTACCCCACTGCCCATGAGTGAGTGAGTGGATGACAGCGAGTGTGTGAAAGTGTGGGTGGGCGAGTGAGTGAGTGACCCTAGTTGCCATAGCAGCCATATGACTTTAAGCGGACAACATTTAAGCTGAAGTACCAGGTAAAACATGCGCAGTGACTGCTTGCTATAACTTGGCCATTGTGATAATGAAATAATATGGCCTCTTATACAGAGCACTAACCTTCACACCTAAATATACTAAGGATTTGCTAAAGTCAGTACACATAACTATACCGGTATATATTAATCATGATGAGATACACAAAGAAGAAAAGCAAATACATGAAACGGAAATTAGTTCAGAAAGTGAAGAAAGGTGGCATTGGTGTTTAGTTTCAAAATATGTACTATGTTCACATTATGTCAGGGAAGCATATTTCAGCCAGGCTACAGATCAAACAAGGGAAGCAAGGATGTTATGCAGGACTGTAAAGAACAGATGCTCATCAAGTTGGTCCCAACCATGAACTCTATGTTCAAGCAGTCCATGCAGAAGACCCAATTCAGAAGTAGATGAACGCCACCAAAAGTCGTTATAACGAGATTTAAAAGTCGTTATTACGAGTGTTTGGAAAGTTGTTATAACGAGATCTAAAGGTCGTTATTACGAGATTATTTTTCTATTTCTAATTACGCAAATGTCCCTTCAGGAGCTTCGTACTCCAAAGCCGAAGAGCAGTGGTACGACTCAGTTTCTCTCAAAAGCGAGTTAAACGAATCTGACATTCACACAAATCCGAAATCGAGAGCACTAATCTCTGATTTACTGATTTCAACAGGCCCTGTTGCTGGTATGGTTCATCAGAAACTAGGCTCCAGAAAAACAGCTATGATATGCGGGGTGTTGATGCTGATTGGGATGACATCGGCATACTTCTGTCAAACAGTGTTGGGGTTATTAATCACATACGGACTGGTGACAGGTAGGAATATCTCCATTTACCGTTTTATCCACAAGAGTCACATCTTGGTAACGCAACCGTTTCCAGTCATATTAGTGCTTTGGGACGTATGCTTAGGAAATGGTCTTCCGCGTTAAGTTTTTCTTTGTGAGGTGACATGCTGTCAAATGTTATACTTGAAAGCTACATGGATGTAATTGATAACATCAATGTACTTAACCGCAATTAACTTAATTTAACTGGAAGCTGAAACTTGAAACATGAATTCGCAATTTCAGACGTGAATTATAACTTAGCAACAGAAACTGTGTGGTTTTTAGAGTGTGAATAAATTTCTTTAGGTTTTTTTTATTTTCATTTGTATCTTTACACGAACATCAACATGATGGACATGTTTGTGTTCAGGGTCATGCCAGATATGACCCCTTTGGGGTTCGACATAATACACCACTGTGACCATGATAGTGGCTAAAATGTACACCGATTTTATGCTTAACGCTGCGAACTAAGGGTGGGAAAAACATATCTCTGTCAGTTGAATGCCATTTATCTTAACTTCTTTTTAGAATAATCGCATATTACCTGCTTTCACTCGTTAGGTATGTTTTGGAACAACTAAATAAATGGTGTGTTGCAGAGTGAGTGAGTATGGTTTATGTCGCTTTTATCAATATTTCAGTAATTCTAAGGCGGTGGGACACCGAATATGGGCTTCACACCTTGCCCTCACGTGGGTAATCGAACCCGATTCTTCAGCGTGACGATTGAACGCTTTAACCACTAGGCTACCCCACCGCCCCAGTGAGTGAGAGATACTCGAGAACTATGGCCTCTGATTTGCCTTTTGCTATTGTTACAGGATTGGCTTTAGGTCTTGCATCAAATGTTGCTGGAGTCGTCCCAGGATATTACTTTCTGAAAAGAAGACCTATTGCTTTTGGAGTGTCCATGGCCGGGGGTGGAGCTGGTCTCTTCACTGGGCCATTGGCACGGTACCTCCTCGACCAATACAACCTACATGGAACACTTCTCATCTTGGGCGGCATCGGCTTCAACATGTGCATCGCTGGTGCCTTGTTACGACCGGTAAGGAACCAAGTACAAACCAAATCCATTGTCAGAAAGACAGAAGAAGAAGGTTGCCAACAACCTCATCCAGAAGCGACCAGTCTCATGAGACAGTCAGAAGAGAACAACGCAATCATCAGATCTGTCCAATCATCAGATGATGGATCCCCTGATCCAGGTTACACAGGATCCTGTTTATATGCACGATTCAGGATCTTCATACAGCTAGATTTTGTATTGTACAATGTTAGTGTTTTTCTGTGGTGTTTGGGAGCATCATCTTGCATAATTCACTTGCCGAACTACGCTGAATATAAAGGAAGTTCACCTATTCAGGCTGCCACTCTGCTTCCTGCTGTGGGTGCAGGTAGTATCTTCTCAAGAATAGTCGTGGGGTTAGTTTCATCTGACAAAAACATTGACATTGTGTTGCTCCAGTTTGGAATAACTGGGATAACAGGAACATTAGCGCTCGTCTTCCCATTATTGCCCAACTGTTACAATGCTCAGCTTGTGTTCAGTTGTTTGTATGGGACATATTGCCATGGCGTATATTCGCTTCTTGGACCTATGACAATTAGGCTTCTTGGTTTACCAAATGCTTCTATTTCGTACGGAATCGTTAGTCTCTTCATCGGAGGTGGACATTTGCTGGGACCACCTATTGCAAGTAAGTTTGCACCCTCTTGATAGTCTCTCCTTGAATTGAGTAAATCGATCTATGTCACGAATGGGTTATTTTAAATACGTATCATGTTGACATCACTGTCGGGAGCACTGCTAGATAAAGTTGAGGATTGATGTACTCTAATTATCCTCCACATGGGGGTGGGGGTGGGGGTGTTGGTGTTGTTTTTATTAAAATGCGCTCCATCCGTGCGTATTCCTCTTTTCCGGAGCAGAACTTCAAAACCAATCTCTATTTCTTTACCAAACTTGGCACTTATATAGATCTGGTGGTGTACTGGTGTCTTTTGATAGTTTTGGATTTCTGAATAAAATATTTATTGCGTTTCCTTGGCAACAAGTTTGACTTTGACTGAAATTGGTGGTAGTGTTCTTTTCCGGAGCAAAACTTGGAAACCGTTAACTATTTCTTCACCAAACCTGGCACATAGATTGGTCATGTGGTGTACTGGTGCCTTTTGATAGTTTTGGAATTCTGAATAAAATACTTTTTTTGCGTTTCCATGGCAACAAGTTCTACTTCGACTGAATTTGGTGGTTGTGCTCTTTTCCGGGGCAGAACCTTAAAACCATTCACTATTTCTTCACCCAAATCGGCACATAGATAGGTCTGGTGGTGTACTGGTGCCTTTTGATATTTTTGGAATTCGGAACAAAGTATTTTTTTGTGTTTCCGTGCTGCCAGGCTTCGACTGTATTTGGTGGTAGTGCTCCTTACTGGAGCAGAACTTGAAAACCTTTCAATACTCTCCTTCCACTTTGCCATATACACAGCAAAACATTTGATATAATTATAACTAGTAGACATATTCATGAAGAGTGTTTTGCCATTGCGGGAAAACCGCTACTCTTACAATATGATTTCTTATCCTACTCGTCATGGACCATTTGTTACATTAGTAGGTTTCTAAATGGTTTTCATGTGAACAATTGACTAGCCCTTGCATGTGTTTATGAAGTGTGCGACCAGTTGGGCAGGGTATGCACTCTTTCTCAAGCACCCGTTATCATCGCTGTTTGATAGTGTTTTATAAACGCATGCTTGTGATATAGTCGAAATCGTATAAAGACTCTGCTCTTTGCAGAGAGTTCTTGTGGATTTGAACAGGGGTTTACCGCTTTTTAATGACCCGACTACACCTTCCAGTCAAACGGATTTCCCTCAACATTGTAAATATTTGATGTCCATTATTATTTCAGATGCATTTTTTACATGTTTTCAGGTTTCTTCTATAAAGGAAGTGGGATATATGAATATACCTACGTATTTTCAGGTAAGAACATGTAATGTCATTGACTGAGATTCTGGTCCACTGCTGACACGTGCATATGCGCAAAACATAAGGTGGCAGTTTCTCGTCCCAATAAACTACATATATATGCGGGTTTTGTTTCTGCGAACATGACATTGTGTTTCAATATTCCTAGTAAATAATTTGTGAAAGAGGGTCGTTACTGGCGAGTCTTCGCACATTACAGAAACAAGGTAACTTAAATTGCATTTCGTTATATGTTGTACTTTGACTCTTTGCTGCTTTCCTTGGAATATTTCAATTCTAGACTGTTTTATTATGGTGTTTGTATTATGTTTGCGCCATCAATAATACTCTCATTTTTCTTTCCAGGTCTATGTTCTGTCCTGAGTTCAATATCAGTTGCATCCACAAGTGCATTTAGAAGTAGGCGGCTAGACGATTAAAGCCAGATCTATCGCGGTTGACATGTTGGTTTGATTCAACGAAATCGTGTATTATGCGCGAACTGTATATTAAGTAAATGCTGTATGGCTTATTAACATTTAGACACCTAACTGTACACTGGTATGTATACCCTAACAAACCAAATGTTGGTGCCCTAAATGCTACGTTTTCTGATAAAGGGCGTATCGACAGAGGGGCGCTGAATACTTAGAATACGGTATATATACTATACTGGTGACTTTGGAACGTAGGATTGTTCTTGAACTGAAGACCTGTTTACCAGGATAGATCCTAGCTGTGAATTGTCCGTAGGTCCGCTATGACTGGTAGCGAGTGAGGGCGGATCAACGGATGAATCATGACCCAGTGGACTGTCTACATCTACATCACGGACAATCTCCATAGCAACACATCTATGATGGTTGGTTCAAGCTGTTGATGGCGTCTGTTTTCCACGGGAAAATATACCTTTATCCAATGAAGCAAAGGTCTTAATTTTTTTTCGAGTAATATTGTCATGCAAACTGTTTGACTTGATGAAGCGTGCAGTTACAGCCTTTCTCATGAGTTGTCCGCTGGCGTTTGAGTACAATGGCAAAAGTGTTGCTTTTTGTTTTTATTGTAAGTTCAATATTTTACTCAAATTGCAAAAGATAGTTATCTACACTTTAAATAACATAGTGGGAACTTAAAAAAGAAGGGGTTTGTTGCTCTTGGATTTCTGCGATCTGTGAGCATATTTTTTCAGTTGGACTTGCCGTACCACCTTAAAGTATTATTGTTCATATGTTACCACAATATTGACATTAGATCACTCGAATATTTTCTCTCTTGTGAATTGAGATACATGCAAAATCCAAGAATGATACATTTGGCATAAAAGGTTTTTATAACCTGTAGGCTTCTTTCTTGTGAAGGGCCTTAGTATGGTGATCTACGTTCAGTTGTTGGCGCTCTATAGCCCGTATTTTATATTGTATTGTCTTCTTTAATTGGAATATTTTAACTTTGCGCTAGTTTTATATTTATAACAGTGATTCTCTAGTCTTTTTACTGTCCATCGTCGACAGGTTTTAATCTTTAAAATGTTTCTACTTTTCATTCTATGGCTTGTTTTCGTCACGATATGGCTGCAATATTGCCGATGTGACGTTAAATCTTAACTCACTCACTCACTCACTTTCTTGTGAATAAGGAACAGGCAAACAGGCCGATGTAGTGAGCACTTTTGTCTCAATTCTACTGTCTCTGACTAGGTGAATAGTGAGTATTTGAATATGGTTTGTACGCCGCTTTTAGAAATATTCCAGCAATATCGTGGCGGGGGACAACAGAAATGATCTTCATACATTGAAACCATATGGGAAATCGAACCCGGGTATTCGACGTGACGAGTGAACGCTTTAACCACTCAGCTACCCGTAGTTGAATAGAGATCGGAAGCAGATTAGTTGCGCATTGTAAATGCAACGTAGACGAACATCACATTGTAATATGCGAACCTTTGATTTCAAATTGGCAAACATAACGTGTTTCTTTATCCATAGATATCCATTATGCACACCCGTGAAGATCAGGGTTAGAATTGATCTTCAGTGTTCCATGCTTGTCGCCACTAACCGGATCGGGTGGTCAGACTAGCTGACTTGGTTGACACATGTTATCGTACCTCAGTTCGTACCCCAGTAGATCGATGCTCATACTGTTGATCACTGGATTGACTGGTCCAGACTCGATTATCTACAGACCACCGCCATATAGCTGGAATATTGCTGAGTCGACGTAAAACTAAAATCACTCGCTCGCTCCACTATGCAGAAGAACATAAAGGCTATCTGTTCCTCATATAACGCACTTCAGGACTAATTGAAGTTTTGAAGTTAATGCAACAAACGAAGTAAGTTGTAAACCCACACAGCAATGCAGTGCTGAAACGAGTGACAAGATTATGTTCACTTAAGGTCACATGGCCCGTAGTTCTGCATATACAATGCATGCACACAGTGCGCTGCTTCTGCAATTATACATGAACGTTTATCTTGGAAGATTTCTTTTTAAATACTATTGTTGATACCTGAACGAATTGTTCATGACATACTAAACTCGTATAATTTATCAGTGGAGGATTCCTATAATATTAATGCTGTAAAAACATTTCTCTGCTCGGCAGAACATTCGACAAGGACGTCAGTGGAACGTGAATTACAATTTATGCACGAAACCATTTGGGGATCATCATTTGCGTTTAGCCGTATACTGCACTTACTCAACTTATGTACTGCACTACGACAATTACAATATACCCTCAGTACGTGCTTAGAAGGATATAATTATACATTTTGTCAACGCCCATTATAGGTTTGAAACCACGATACAAATTCAAATTTGAAATCTTGTCATACCACTTCTGTAACTCTATTTCTTTACATCTCAGCCACTCAAAAAAAGACACTGATATTAGCACAATCCAGATACATGAGTAATCCAGATAAACGAAAACCTGGTTTCGAATAATAGCTTACGGATATGAAAACCCCAATTTATCTTACCATTAGCATCATGAATCCGTAACACATCATAGCAAGTTCTCGGATATCTGGAACTTTCCATATGAAGAAGCCTGCAGCAATACTCTATGCACCGGCTATAATAACGTACAACCTACATCTCCTAATCAAGGTCACTTATATTTTAGATCTCATTTGTGTGAACCATCATATGCATTGTGTCGTGTCACATGATCTGCATGTAAGCTATGAGCCCGAGACTAAGCCGAGTCACGATATGTGCGAGTCACGGTATGGCTGAAATATTGCCGATGTGACTATAAATCTTAACTAACTCATGAGGCATGGCGTAAGTACCATTTAACTCACTCAGTGAGTTTATTTTTACGCCTCAATATTCCAGCTGTATGGCGACGATCTGTAAATAATCGAGTCTGGACCAGACAATCCAGTGAACAGCAGCATGAGCATCGATTTTCGCAACTGGGATACGATGACATGTGTCAACCAAGTCAGCGAGTCTGACAACCCGATCCCGTGGGTCGCCTCTTGCGACAAGCATGGGCTGCTACTGAAGATCAATTTTAACCCGGATCTTCAAGGGACTACTCACTCAGTGATTATATTATTATTATTATAGGATATTTATATAGCGCACATTGCCATGCAGTTAGTACATGATCAAGGCGCTGACATTTTTTCCCTCGATCACTAGATGTCAATCTCAACGGCACATCGTTTTTTTATCAATCTCAACTCCCCGGGGTCATACAACTCTTGCAGCCACTAAGCGCACCGAGGTATTGCGGCTGTCTCATCCTTACGAGGTACCTATTTACAGCTAGGTGGACTGCGACACATAGTCACAGTACTTTGTCCAAGTTTACTGCACGTTGCTGTATCCGCAACTAGGTGTTTGCGCATATCCATGTGGCCATCATATGGTCATATACCAACGGATTCGTGGGTTCTTTTAAGTGCACAGGTTTGTGTACTGTACACTAGGGGTTGTGACAACAATGGAAGTCTGCACTCAAAGTTGACGCCAATGTTCTTACGCCCGATCAAAGGTGGGCTCGATCCCGTCACCTCAAGCTCGCTGGATCAGTAGCCCCTGGCGCCCTAGCCAGCTCGCCCACCATGCCACCATTTACTCCCATCCATACTCAGTTCATCTGAAAACTAATGTCATTTGTTATTACAGTGGTCACCCAAGTAATTGTTGCCCAAATTGTGATATGATTACGTGTGCATGTTCCATGAGAGGGGTATATGTTCCCTCTATGCTACCTACCCGACCCGTGAAGATCCGCGCTACAATTGACTAAACTCACTCCTACCCGAGCCAAGGGTTCTGTCACCTACGAGAACGGTGCTTAACGCATATATCTGGGAGGCGATGTATTCCATCGTATCCCAAATGAGTAGACCGTTGCTCATGGTGTCAGTCAATAGATTGTGTGTCCAGACTCAATTTTCCTAATTACTGCTTAAAGAAACAAAGAAACAAACACACAACAATATTTTCTGTTGGAAACCTCCCAATCACCAACACGGGACAGAAATGTTTATATATAAAAGAAGAGCAAGGTGCGAGTCCCGAACAGGTACAGCGTTTGAAATCTTTGTGACCTCCTTCACCTTAATCGTTCCGCATCATGGCCAAACGTGAATGACAACACAACACTGTAGACGTCACCTGTTTGAGAGGCACAATAGGTTAGGGACCCCTATCTTGCTCATACCGAGGTCATGTCAACAAGTTGACTTTAGACGTAGCGTTGCATTTGCATGCAATAGTTATCTGGGGTCAAGATCTGTCAACTACTTGCCAGCCCATATCAACGCACACCCTGCCAAGACTATGATTTCAACTAAGTGATCTGTTTAAATGGCCAGACGTTATAACACATTGCCTGTACTACAAAGACTCAAACAGCGAATTACACGGTAACATTAAACTCCGTGGCTATGAAAGGAGCTTAGTTATGACATGATAATTCACACGTTTAAGCTACTCAGAAACAGGTAAGATCCAAGCTGCATCGTTTACTGATATTTTTTCAAAACGATCGTTGTTTTGATGTTTTGTTTTTTGCATTAATGTAATGCACATTTAGATTTCGTTTTTAAATTTACTGCTGAATAGATCACTGAGGAAATAATTTGATGTGGACAAACTTGGTTCCCTTGGTGTGAGGTTGGCGTTCCTCTGATCATTTAGCATCCCTATGGTCTTGGCTTCGAATAAGTGATTCATCTTAATCACGATACTATGTTTGTCATCACCCGGGGGTTATGTGATAACTAGATAATACGGTACAAAGTTTGACAACTGTTACCCCCTTTATTGGACCGGGTATTGGGGGATCGGCGCTAAAGGTGATGCAAGATATGGATGACCAAGACAGCTATATTGTCGTACATAACAGTGCCATTTGGCTGCACATGAACAACTCCCGTGAAGATCCGAGTCAGAATTGGTCTTCAGCAAACCCACTCGTTTAAAAAACTTAATTTGATTTATATCAATTAAACATCTAGAAATTGCAAATGGTTTATATGCACACTTGATAATGTTCTGAATATGTTACATAGTCAGGTATCATTTCAAAACATTTGAACACCCTTATATGATATTTGTTAGTCAGATGACATTTTAACGTGACTTAAATTGAGAGCATTCATTTATAATGATATAATAAAGTATGTAATATCAAAGGAGACGAGCATTCAACATAATTCCAACTCTGCTATACTCCCCTCAATAGGAAACTGTGGGCCTCACAACGCCATGGCAGTTAACTTGATCAAGCCTTAGCGCTTAATGCTATAACCAAATCCATTCTTGAATGTCATTGTATCTCCGTTACGTAGATCGATGCTCATGCTGTTGATCACTGGATTGACATGCCGAGACTCGATTATTTACAGATCATCGCCATATTGCTGAGATTTTGCCTAAGTGCAGCGTTAACCAAGAAGCAAACAATGGTTCATGGAATGTACGTTCGTTGGTTTGACTATCATATTCCCTGGATCTGTACTCTTGTCAGCAGTCACCGCCTGACCAAGGACCCGCTCCAGGAGCAGTTTTCCTCTTGGGGAATCAACTCTGCCTGTCCTCATTTATCGGTCTGACTAATCAAGGAACCCATTTCATCACCGGTAAAGCGAGAAACATCATCTATTTCAACGACCATAAGAAATCTCTCATTTTATTGTACGGTCGCGACTAAATCATAATTATACAAGTATGAATCACAGTCGGTAATTATACCATGACTTTACGATGGGCACGCTTATCCTCCCCAGTGGTGGCACACCTGGTAAATACATGCAAAGGCACGTGAGTTGTGTACCTGAAAACCAAGGCCATGAATGTTATAACCGTGATCACTTTTGTCCTTCAACGTTCTTTGAAGTCTTCGTTGAAAGAGCTTGCACGACTGTAAATCAGGCTGTGAAATGTGATAACAAAATGCTCGAGTTGACGGAGTGTTGCCTCCTATTAAAAGGCATTAAGCTTTTTGTGACTTGAAGACATTCGAGTGGAGAAGTTCTTGTCACTTTGAATCTTCGTGCATATATCGTATTCGAAACAGATGCATCAGTCTTACTGGTCCCTTATTTCTAGTTCAGGTTGCATATTGTATTTAGTGGAACAGTTCTTGTCAATTTGAATCTTCATGCATATACCTTATTTGAAACAGATGCATTAATCTCACGGGCCCCTTATTTCTAGTTCAGGCTGCACATTGTATATGTGCTCGTACTGTTACTTTGTATTCCATCCCTTAATCAAAGCAAAGTTCGACGGTATGCATACTAATCATAATTTTTTATCACATGCTGAACGCTATCCGTCACCATCAGGCCACCGCATAAGCTGGGGTAAGCATGTGAGGAATACAGCTTCCTTCTCGCCTCTAATAGCTGCGGCACAGGGTTGGTTAGCCAGTATCTATTTCCAGTCCCTTAGTACAGGTATGTATTTCCACATAATCGCAACGCGTCATCCATAATCCATTATATGATATCTTCAAATGTTCCATTCGCCACCATGACTTCGTTTCGGCAATTGACGTCTTATCAGTAACTTCGAGATGAGTCAAATTTGATTGAAAGGAAAAGGGTTACTCTGTGCAACTCTAACCAAAGATAAAATGTCATTTCCTAAAAAAAATACTTGCCTCAATATCTTTCCAAATTGCTCTTTGTATCTTTAAGGGGAGGGCAGAAGTTAAATCTTAAGTGTAGTCCCCAGCCGAGAAGGATTCTCAGTCAGCAATCCGCCATCACAAGCACTTGGAACATTAACCCATACGGAACAACTGGCATATAAGCAATTGGGTTGAAGGTATGCGAAAGCATACAGGTTCATGTGGTAGTTGTCCACTTGAGGTTTACGGCTTAATTGTAGCAAGCTGTCAAGTCTTTCAAAGTCAGTGGACAGGGCCCGCTGTGGTCATCGGGTCAACGTTATATCTGCTCATTGGTGCAGCACTGAGCCACAGTCGGTCCACCATCACCAGCGTAGCGGTTGCCCAACAAAGAGAAGGTGACAGAGTAGTTGATAATTACATGACGACCCAAATTACCCTGTGATTCATTATCTGTAATCTCACTTTCTGTAATATCTTTAATTACGTATTTTAGAGAAATGAAAAGCGAAGTGGGCACCGCAAAGCCACAAATTCCATGTATTTACATCACGCTCACAACGTCCCAAAATGTTCAAATGATTTCATAATCTTTTCTTGGTTCTGAATCCTAGCAGGACTGAAGCCAAGACAAGAATAAAAGATGCGTTGTATTTACATGACACATTTTGTTGTTTACATTGTCACTAGTATAACAGTATTTTATTATCGCCTGCACCCACCATCGTCTATGTACTTCTTAGTAACACTGTACTGCTTGACTGTGTTGAATATTCCATCACAAGGGATATCTATTTCAAAGTAAAAACTATGAAGGATCTTTTTAGTAATATAAGTTCTCATTTAATTATTGCCTTTTTAAAAAAATTAGACTTGTTAACTGATTTGTAAATAGATATATATTTTATTATTGGTAGTTTGAATTAGTAACTGAGATTGTTAGTGGCTGTACCCTCAAAGGGGGTTGAAGTAGCGTAAAATTATTGTCCTCCTGCGAGGGTACGTAACT